CGTAATGAACTAATTATGTCTCGACTAATGTAAAATCGAGAACATTCCAGAATGAAAATCAACGCGGAAAATAACAGCCGTAAAAGAAAGAGAGCAACACATAAAAACAATCACAAGAGCCATTAAATAACGCAACGAGCAACAGAAAATTTGTTTATTATTCGTTCCTGTCCAAAGCATGTACAAAAGATCATCCAATTGCGAAGAGAAAACAAACGAAGAGATTCAATCGCAGCACTGTACAAGTCAATTTTATTTCGATCGCTCGTGGACAAATTATTCGTAACGTCGTTCCCAACGAGTTTCGCATCTCGATCGAACTATTTCCCGACATGCTCGTGAACAATCGTTACGAGCCATCGAAGTTCGACCGACTCCTCGAAATTTAATCTCGAACAATGGCGGGAGAGCCGGGAACAAAAACGGGCAACCGCGATTGCTCAATTCACGATCCTCGGGAGAAATGATTTTACCACCGAGGTTCGACGTCCGTTAATTAAAACGCTTCGAATCTAATCGATCGGCTATCAACGTCTTAACGACAGCTGATCGTCGAAAATCTCGATCGATTAGATCGAAGAAATTAATTCTGAATTTTTACCGATTACAGAGACCGTCAATCGACGGTCGACAACGTTGGCCGCCTGCGTCGATCGTCGTCGAACCGTTAATTCGTTATTTAAAAAAAAAGAAAAAAAAGCAAACGAGTACAACGTACATTTTCGAAAACCGCGAAACTCCGTCGCGACGCAAACGACGTTAATTATTGTCGCAGTCGACACACAGTCGCGCGCTCCAATATTTATTTCACGATTAACCCCTTAACGTGCACGCTCGAGTTAACTCGAGCGCGCTAAACTGGCCAAACTGTGCACACTCGAGATCATTCGAGCGGCGTTGCACTTTATGTTGCTATAATTTTTCACGCTCGAATGCAATCGAGAATTGAAAATAACAATGTGAAAGCAAAAAAAAAACAATCGTTTTTTATTGATATTTATCATTTACATGGGATTGTAAGCTATAACACTTACTTATTCAAGTATAAAATATATCCTTTTTCTACTTATCACACACTTACGACTTATCTCTTCCTTGTGAGCCGCTTTCCGACAGCGTATTCATATTCCGATTCTGATTCGCTCATTTTTCAATATATATTTTACTAAGATATAATGTAAAATAAAATATGATAATAATAATAATAACAATAATAATAATAACACAATTTAGAACGTTATCTTGGCAAGAAAATGACAAAAATACAAAGATAATGGGTATTTATACAATTGGTATGATTTCTAATTTTCAGAATATTACTATTATTATTAT